AAGCAATTCAAAATTAGACACTTAAGACCAATATAGAAAATATAAAACTTCTATATTTTTGCAAGTGTTTTTCTGTTGTTTTTAATACCCGATTTCCCGATTTCCTCATTGTTTCCACTCACCTGGCTGGAGTCTGTGCTGATGCTGACGGCCGTTATGATCTTCTTGGGGATCCCCATAATAGTCTGGCGCCATCCTGAAACAGAAGATACACTCAGGGTGACTCCTTGTGGCCAGCAGCGCCCCCCTGCCCCTAGGACTCCTGCCGGTCCGGTCCGGCCCTTGCAGACAGCGGGGCGCCCAGGCGGCCGCACCCGGCCCGGCGCCAACACGAGGAGGGTGCGAGATGCTGCCTGCCGGGCGTCTTACTCAGCGGGCGGCGCGGGGAGGAGAGGGGCGAGACCTCCCCTTTCCCTCTTCCCTGCGGCCCCCGCAGGGCTCCCCGCTGCGCACGCCGCCCCAGGAGCCACCGAGCACCTCGGCAAAGTTTTCTTATGCGTCCGCCGCCACCCTCTCTCGTTGGGGGAAGAGGAGATCTGGGCTGCGGAAGGACGAGGAAGTGCCTCCGGGACCACCAGGATGTGATTCCAGTCTACATCCCGAGGAAACGGTGGAGAAGCTTTCTCTTCTGACAAAGAAAACCTGCGACTGTTCCGGGTTGTTGCTTGAGCCTGCCAGGAGTCTATCCTGTGCATTTCAACATATCCGCTAGTGACCTACTTCTCCACGCTGTTACGGACCGAGACCTAATAGGGCTCCGGAAGCTTTCAATGAGGATCCCACTTAACCTGCTTTATGAATTTGCGAAAGCGGAACAGCTTATTCCGCGCATGTGTGAATTCACTAGTATATACGCGGCAATGCGAATGCCCTATGAAGGCGTCTGACGCCGTGTGCTTGCTTCCTTGCACTTCAGAAATATTGTCTTCAAGTTAAACGTGACTGTCAATTGACTGACTGCTTGGTTTCCAAGCAAAAGGTAATTTCCAAGTCAGTTACAATACTGTATCTACACTACATATGTAGAGTTCGAAATCACAATAATGTTTTCCTGAGTCATTTAATAATGTTTGTGTCTGCTTATTTGAAAAGACGGATGGACTGCCGAGGACTGCCCGTACCTAAAGGAAGAGTTCAATGACATTGTTCTTGAGGTACAGCGTACAGAATAATACGTTACGGCTATCGTGATGGATAATGAGCCGGGAAGGGGTAAGGTCTCAATTAATATTAAACGGCTTTCCTCTTGCTCCTCCGTGGTCGTGGTATCCACCTGTCTGTCAGTGCGTACGCGATGACGACGATGGTGGTCCATGGCCCGTCAGTGGGCGCAGGGTGCCGATCACAGTGGTCCCTCAGCCTGGATATGGTGGTTACTCCTGGCCCCGCTCCTCTCCGCCCCCTTCCCCCCTCGCTCGCCAGCCCATCAGGGCCTGGTGAATTACCTCGCTTCCCCTCCTCCCCGGAACTACCAGCGTAGTAATGTTCCTCGCACGTGTATAGGCTCCCTAGCGGTGGCACGCGTCTGGGGGTTGGAGTCGTGCGGGAAAGGAAGGGGAGGGGTTTTGCCTTGTCGTCTTCTAAAGGGAAACGTTCCAATACTTTACCTTGTTTGATTTGAACGTTTCTATTCTCTGCCCTCGTCGAACAGTCCGCGAAAAACGAACGTAGCTATCTTCATAAAATGGGTTCGTTATCAGGGCACTTGGGACATTTAGAGCTGCAAAGAATCACATAACGAACCCCTATCTTAGACTTGTTAAGCGAACTAAGCGAACTGGCTGAGAATGATGATGTTAGACAGGTCCGCCAGGCAAATTGCTTAACGAGTGAGGTGGGGCAGGTGGGGTAAGAACCAGAGCCAGCTTCTGAAAGTGTTGAGATTGCCCTGAAAAGTCTATTATAAAACTAGGTTTGCGGGTAGCAGTTTAAGAGAGAGAGAGAGAGAGAGAGAGAGAGAGAGAGAGGGGGGGAGGAGAGAGATTGTGCGTGTGTGTCCAACCACAAATATTTATGTTCATAAATGTGTGATTTCATCTAAGCAAAATAAAACAATTTGACTCATTAACGACTATTAATTTATTTACATTTTAATGTACAGTATTAGGGTGAAGACTCTTTGTTATATTGATATGCCACAGAACATGCGCGCCCTAGTACTCATAGATCTTCACTAAACACACACATAAATATATAAATAGGTTTCGCGATAAAAAGCTTTTCTTGATAGAGCCGGAAGAAGATAAGAGCTTTTGCAGTCTGTTTGGTACATTTTCAGGTTACCTCAGGAAAAAGTGTGCTCTAATCAATCAAACGTACTCTATATTTTACGTTACATGCGGTAGACTGTTAAAAAAAGGTTTCAGGAGACTGACCTGTTTTTACATGCAAACGACAATTTTAACAACATTTTATCTTACAATGAGCGTATTGTTATATTAGTGTTGCCGCTTCAAACCTGGCCACACTTATAACCAAAGCCTGGTACAGTCTAACACTTGGTAAAGTATGGAAGAACGACCTTGGTCACCATCATACATAGAGCATCATGTGTCTGTCAATACCTAACGTCGAGAATCCTCTGTGTGACACTAATGTAGAACAACATGTGCCTCACCATCAACGTTGTTTGACTACGGTCTTAGATTAACACGTGGGGCACATTCTGCTCTACGATATTTAATGTCAGAGATTTACTGCACTACCCCAGTGAGAAATTTTTACGACGACCCCATTTTGACATTGTTTTCCACGTCATTACGACATGAAAGTGTGCTTAAAATCGACGGCCTTTCGACAGTTAAAAGTCGAACCGATATCGAAACGACATCGGCTGTTAATTTCAAGCACAATTTAATGGCGTAAGGACGAGAAAGACGATGTCGAAGCGATGTCGTCGGAAAACATTTCTCACTGGATACACTTATGTTCGCAGAGCTAGCGCGTCTTACAGTTCATTATGTAGGAGACTCTGCCATACTTCACAAAGTGTTAAACAGAACACTTCAGTTATCAGTGTAGCATGGTTGCTACAATATAACACAATTTCTCCGAGTGCGTCTTCGTAAATGCAAACTGAGACTAACTGAAAATAACAGTATTTAGGTGGCTATGATTTCTTTGACAGATTCTATGGCAGTGCACTGCATCTTACGTCACCTACTAACATGGTCACCTTTATCTAGCAGCTTGAATTATTAAAAACGTCAAGGTTTTTAAAAATATGGGCAAAGCTAATTAGACAGGGCATAGGAAGATAGTTTTATTTTATTTTCTCAAAAGAAAAGAGGTCTTATAAACCGAAACCTTTGAAACATTTAGTTTTTGCCCTGAGGGTTTTTTCCTCACGATATTAACACAACAAATATAATCATCGCTAAAAACGACAGCCTCAACAGTGAACAAATAGTAACAAATATTGTAACGCACTGATCTCAAGTAAACGCACAAACAATCGATACACAATATAGTTAAACATGCAATTATTAACAGAGCAATTTAACAAGATATGCAAATTAATCTTAAAGCGGCATTGCTTTTAATTACAGTCATGGGTATTTGCCTCCTCTGGCAATCATGATAACAAAATAGGAATCTACACTAAAAGTTCACATAAAATAATTTGCTGCTTGAATACATGGCTTAAAGCACATTTATTTACAACTTTTTAGGTTTTTACTCAGGAGAAATGTTGGTGTAATACTGAGATAACTGTAAAATGAGACAAGCTCGTATTGACACTAGACATGCAATAGACGAAGGGCGGTAGGCCGACACCACACAAGTCGGTCATTTTATTAATCCAAACAGATGATCTGTTGTCGGAAAATACCTTCACAATTGTAACGGTCAATATTTTACTAACGCTTCTTCGTGACAGAGTTTGCCTTACGCGTTCTGAACTTAGGCATTGATCAGCGTGTAGCAAATTCATTTATTGCCGGAATACATGCACATCTGACTCAACGCCACATCTAAAACTACGGTTAACTCAAATGATAAAGCGAGACATCTTACACGAATGACTTAATGTGATGTTTTTGTCACATTGAATCTGTTCATACACAATGTACGATAGAATTGCGACAGTAGGGATCTGGCATAGCTCAGGGAGACTTTTAAAAAGGCACCCATTAACAAAGTATAAAATGTCAAAAGTAAATTATTAAATAAATTTAGCTACCTACATTTTTTATATTTATTTAATCTACAGTCAATGATAACATCACAAGACAAAATAGACTATTTTTTATTGCTGTTCCGTTTCATAGGCAGCTGCACTGCTTCTACAACTAGATGGTATGAGTAATCGATGGAATGTTTGTGAAAAGACCAATACGGCGGGAAATAATTGTGCGTGGATCTTCCCTTCACCTTCACGCCTTACTGGCAACCCGCTCAAGTGATATGAACTGCTATACCCTACTGCTAGAGATCTGGTTAGTACCCGAGTTCGGCTAACTCAAAGGTTTTGGTTGTGACAAAAATTTTGTCATGTGACGACGTGACGTTTAGTACTCAGCAAATAAAGAATTTCGAGTTTTATTGCACATTGTCAAACCTTTTTAAAAAACTTGCATCACTCTATATGCACACTAAAGTTAAGGACACAAAGAGTATGCATTGAATCTGTAGTTCGTATCTAACGCAATGATTTATGTGAGCGGCACATTCGGTTTAAAGGTTATTGCAGCGGTACCGTATGAAATTTGAAACTATATACAAACTAAACCGATAGGTGAGCAATAATTTGCGGAGAGGGCTTTCATCAGTTTGAAATATTGCCAATGGCAATTTGTTGGCTTTAGTAACTAAGTTCTATCCTAGGATTTCAAAAGGAGGAAGTAGGGATATTTTAAAACTGCACGAAACTTTAGACTGACTCGCATTTGTGTCTAAAATATGATCTTTTTCAATAAAGGGTGATATGATTCCTACCAGCGGCAGTCTTTTCAAAGATGTGCTCAAACATCGTAATAAGACAGTATCCATAGTTAAAAAAGTAAGTTTCATCTCAACTTTCTAAGTGTTATTTCACACATGTTACATAACATCTATGCATTATCAAATTCACAAACGTATTTCAGGCACTCACGCAGGCTGTCGTTCCATTGATCTCCCGCCTCTATGACCCTTTCTCTATCACTCACTCAATTTCTCTGTCTCTCTTAAACAAACACACGCCGGCCCACACCCCCACCCACTTTTCCACTTTTCACACACACACTCACACACACACACACACACACACACATCCGTTGTCAATCCAATATAACATCTATTATAGTTACAATAATTTTCTCTTACAATAGTAACACTTATAAGTAAACGGGACATTTGTCCCAGATATGTTTGATGATTTCTTGGTGACATGGTGTCGCTGATTGCGCCAACCACAATAACAAGAGAACAAAACAATAAAAAAATCAAAATCTTAAACTAGATCTTATATATTGGGCTTTTAAAATTATCACTGAGTCATTGATCTATGACACTGATACATTGGAATTTTATCCAAAGTAATTATAACTAAGAAATAGCAACAATTGATCTAAGCTAATATTTGCGCATTCAACATCAGTATTTCAGAAAAGCTTTAACAGATATGTTTGATCAACCAGGATCAATAGCTTATCTTAACAATAACGTTTCTTAACATTTTTTTTCGTGAAAATTTTAACAGTGTCGGCGTTTGAGTATTTACAACTTACAACTATTCACCAAAACATAATATGTTGGGAGAAACTTCAACAGAACACTCATATGTAACATACAGCATTTGTAATAAATAACATTGAAGGCATGCGACTGTTTTATGTAACATTTAATAAAGGTTTCATAATGGGAAAACAGTGATGTTTACCACCCTTGCCGGAAGGGGTTGGTGCCACTGCTCGCAGCCGGTCCAGGAGCTTCCTGGCGGAATGGGTTAGTGGCAGGAGCCTCGGGTGCAGCCGCTGCCGGCCTCTGGTATGCCTGTGGCGCAGGCTGTTGGTAGCCTTGTTGTTGGTATCCCTGGGGCTGCTGCTGGTAGCCTTGCGGCTGCTGCTGTTGGTAGGCTGCTTGCTGGTAGTAGCCCTGATCTGCTCCAGCATAGCCGTTTGACCCTTCAAGCTGCTTGGCGTCGAGGCTTGTCTCGGCCGTGTCATTATCGTCCTGGAGCCGACCATATTCGAGGTGATTCTTCAGGTCGCCTGACACCAACCTCTGGTCGTGCATTGTGTACGTTTGGTACTCCTTGTTTGGTGGGTCGCCCATCAATATGTTGGCTTCGCTCTGGAAAGGTTTGAAGTCGTAGATGTTCCGAAGATATATCAACACCGGGGCATATAGCAGGTTGGAAAAGCCGATGCAAATGTTTAGTGCTGTGAAGCCGACAGCTTCAACCACGCTGCCGGCGATTACGGGCCCCACGGCGTACGCCACTGAGTAGGAAATGTCAGCGATGGCGTAGATACTGCCGTACACGGACACGTACCGCACGTCGACCAGGTAACCGAGCGTCGGCAAGATCGCCGTGTCCACGAGGGCAATGCCGAAGCAGATGCCACAGATGGGAATCATGAGCACCTTGTAGGAACGGCAGAAGGGTATGATAAAGCAACACAGCCCCTCCATGGTGAGCCCTACGGCCACCATGAGCCACTGCTGTTGCGGGTACTGCTTGGCGATCTTCACCGTTAGCACGACGCCCAGCACATGCGGGAAGAAGGCCGGCAGCCAGATCATGCCGATTTTCCAGTTGTCCGTTGTGATGTTATCTTCCATCCAGAGCGAGATGGTGGGCTCTAGGAAGGCGAGGGCCACGTTAGCCATGCTGAGTGCGCCAGCGCACACGGCAATGTACGGGTCCATCATCAGCTTCCAGATGGGGATTGTAGGCGCCCTCACCTCCTTGCTTTCCCTCAACTGCTCCTTGACGGGCTTCATGACAAGAAGAAGCATGATGCCATCCATGAGCGAGATAAAGGCCAGCACCAGGAAGGGCACCTCCTTTCCAGCAAACTGGTAGAGCGCTCCACCAAATGGAGGCGCCACCAGACAGCCGAAGCTGATGAAGGCGAGCGCGATTCCGAGCGCTTTGGAGCGCTCAGACTCCTCGGTGAAGCGGTCGGCGATCATGGCCATGCCAGAGGTGTCGGCGAAGGCAGAACCCACGCCCTGCAGGCTGCGCGCGAAGAACAGAGTGCCGTAACTGCGGCCGCACGCGAACATGGCGGTGGAGAGAAACATGACCACCAGCCCGACCATCATGGGGAGGTCGTAGCCTATGCGATCGATGAGTGCCCCCGAAAACGGATTCACCATCAGCTGCACGATGGCCTTGGACGCGAAGAGGATGCCCGTCGACGTGTCCTGGCCGTGGTGATCGCGGTGCAAAGGCGATCCCGGCACTGGGGTCGTGAGGTTGCTCGGCGGCAAAGGCTCGGGATCGCCCTCCTCGATGTAACGCAAATAGTCTGGGATGATGGGCACGATCACCATGTACAACATGTTGTCGAGCAGCAGGGCGATGCACACGATGACCAGCACCAGCTTGCGCTGGGCGCGCGGCTCCTGGAGGCGGTTCCATACCGTCTCCTTGAGGGCCCGCCAGTCTATGTCACTCAGAATGGGTATTTGGTTCATGGCGGCGGCGGCGACGTCCTCGCGCGGTGTTCAGTGGGCGTGCTCCTGGCCGGGCTGGCCGGCGCTGGTCGGGTGCGGGAGCGGGCCGGGTGACGAGAGCTCCGTCCCCATCTTCCCCCTCCTCCTCTAGGACTCGAGCCTCGGGATCAACAACCTTCAGAGACAGACAAACAAAAGGATGGAGTTAGAGAGATTCACCTGCACTATCTCTTTCATTCGCATGTAGCTTTTCTTTTCCAATGCTATGGCTCGAACTGTTTTTGTTTTTTAAGGTCGATACTTTGAACTTTAATCATGATTTCTATCACGTTAGTGAAGTGGAGGGGCGCTAGCTAGTGCCGCGTCGTTAAAGTATTCCCATGACAAGTGAGAGGGGGAGGACAACGTCGTGCCCGCGCCACCCGCACCCGACCTGCGGACAGAGCAGCCAAACAGAACAAAGAGTCTCACAAGTTGTCCGGTGCGCAGTGCCGCGCTGCGCCCAGAGAGCCTCGCCGACTATTTACATGTTAAATTTGCTGGCGGACAACTAATTGGCGGGACGATCACATGAATACATTTGCGTAATCAGTGGGAGGGAAGGGGGTGGAGAGCGGAGCAGGGGCGGGAGCGCGAAGGAAAGGGA